TGTTAACTTCCCAATGGTGTGGCTCTAGATCGGCGTTTTGTTCCCCAGATAGCTGGAGGCTATAGGGGTTCTAACTTCTTAATGGTGTGGCTCTGGATCGACGTTTTGGTTTTGGGTGCGGATGCAGGTGCAGGTGCTGGTGGTCCAGGGATGACATCCTGTCATGGCCGGAATGACGTCATGCCATGCCCAGGCCCCTGGGGTGAAATTGTGTCATGCCAGGGATGACAAACCTATACACCAGCTATCAAGAGTCTATGCTGGTGCAATGGTTTTGCGGGTGCTGCTGCAGTGCTGATGCTGGTGCAGGTGCAGGTGCTGGCTGTGGATCGGCGTGTTGGTTTTGGGGGCGCTGCTGCCGTGCTGATGCTGGTGCAGGTGCAGGCGCTGGCTTTGCGGGTGCTGCTGCCGTGCCGCCGCTGCTGCTGCTGCTGCTGCTGCTGCTGCTGGTGCAGGCGCTGGCTCTGGATTGGCGTTTTGGTTTTGCGGGCGCTGCTGCCGTGCTGATGCTGGTGCAGGTGCTGGCTTTGGATCGGTGTTGTGGTTTTGCAGGGATGTCATTCTGTCATGCCAGGGGTGACATCAGGGCATATGTTGCATGACAACGCGTTGTGCAGCAATGATCCTTTTGTTGACGGGGCAGCTTTTGGCCGGTCCTTATGCCGATCTTGCAGTTTTACGTTTGTGTTGGGCAAATCGGGCGCATTCAGCTGATGGACGTTCCGCATATTGGTGGATTGGCCTGATGTTGCATGCTGCAGTGACAGCCGTCCGTGGCATGTCCTTCAAGCCTATACACCCGCTATCTGGGGTCTATGCGAGTGAAACTTTTGAACGAACGTCGTGACAGATCCAATCTTGGGCTTTCTTCGAGCAAGATGTTGGATCATCCAAAAGATCATTTTGTGCTTCTTGTGTTTCAGGTCTTACGCATGACTTTGCATGACCAGTCCTGTCAAATGCAGTGTTGGGTCTTGTTAAACAAATCACTTGCCGAATACTGAAGCACTGTGCACGATATGTATATAATTGTATATATAAACACTAGAACAGAGGGGCAAGAACATGTTCAATCTGAAATTGGAGCTGAACGTTTTCTAAAACAAACACGTGCAAGGACAGGCTGGTCGAAAAGACCCGCATTCCAGATTCCACACTGGAGCTAGTGGACAACATTCTGGAATGAATTGCTGACAAGACCTAGGCTTCTCTGTTGAATGGAAGGGAACTTGATTTTGGATTGTGTGCCAAGAAACAGATCATATTCCATCCAATATTTGCAGGTGGCAAGGGACAGGCCGGCGGAAACTGAAATGGTTCAGGGGAAGGACATAGGTGACAGACACTGCAGCTTCACAGACATTGCCATGATTTCAAGTCAGCAACCCCCTCCTATCAGTCAAATTCCTTGTATGGCCTCGATGAAGGATTTGTTTGTCCAGGATCGGTTTTCTCGGACGCAATTGCCCACCAGAGATTGTTCTGAACAGATGTGCATTGAAAAATAAAGCAAACGAACTAAGCTTGCAGTTGTCCATGTCAAAAGCATTCTCAATGTTGTGCTCCTTCAATTACTTGCATTTTACTGGTGCAATTTTGGCTCTTTGCTGATTGGAGCAACTTTGACCGAGGACAGAGGCTGGTTGGGGTTGGCCATGTTGCATTCTCTCGCATGTAGCATGCGATCATGTCTACTTTTTTGTTTTGCAAAAGCCCAAGATGTCTTGATCGCAGTCAGTCCAGCAACAGCTGTTTTTAGCTGTTTTCTCGCAACGTCTCATCCTCGGGGGCTCAAGGCTCCGACCTGGCTTCTGCCAGGCCTGGCCAGTTTGTTGCTAGGCAAAAACCGTTTTTGAAGAGTCATGTCCAATCAGAACTTGGGAGACTTGGTTTACGGTGGTTGCAGTGATTTGAGAAGCTCTCTATTGGCGACACTACACTCATTTGAGAGTGCAGGACTTGTGGAAGCTTCCTGAGCAGCTCAATGCCCTCTTGCCATCCTGTGTCCGTCCAGTAGTTAGTTGCTTACTTAAGTAGGCGCCTACTTAATTAAGCAAGGGTGAGGGCACCTCGGGCTGAACAAAGAGGCCAAAACCAAGCTCAATGTCCGAGCTTCTGATGCCAGGCCTGGTGGAGCACGTCCGAGCCTCACGGACCCACGGAAAGTCCGCAACAGAGCCGGTCGCTCTGGCCTTGCGGATACTCTTTTCTATTTTTTCTCGAAGCTGAACATGAAAAGCACAAGGCAGTGCACGAAAAAGCCTTGACACTCGCCGCCACGTGTTTTATCAGGCGTTTCACAATGTCGTGCACGACCCCTTGGTACAGAGATGATGAGAGGCTGGAGAAGCAAGATTCGTGAAATGTAGCCATTTGAGAAGCTGACAGCAATGAGAAGCATGCTTGTAACTTGTAAGATCTTGCAAGTAACGAGGGACCTAAGGCCTAAGGCTTTAAAGCCTTTTGGAGATTGCTCATGAGTCATGCATGCAGCCAGCAACCCTTTCTTGGGTGGATCAATCAATCGTAGAATGCTAGACTAAACCCAGTAGATACAAGACTTCAACAGGCTGAGTGTTACACCTTAGAGTCATCTCCTTGTTTGCATCAAGCCCATAGTGGCACCTGAGCCAGGCCCTTCCTACAACGCACCGATACGATGCTTCTGGATGTGATTCGGCCCAAAGACGTGCCACGTGGTCAGGCCCAAAGATGCTGCCTAACCTTATGTCCAGTGGCTTTGTTTTGAGTGGTCCATTTACCCGTGCAGCGCTTCAAGTTGCCTGCAATGTCGCAATGCTGAAGTTGTGAATGAGATGGCCAGGAAGGTAGATAGTCTAAGCCTAAGCATAGATGACAGGAAGAACCGATGAGGAATTAACGAAGAGGATGTTGATGATGATGGTGGTGATACTTTAATAGTGACTAGTGATGATGATCACAATGGTGCCAATGCCAAGATAAAGTAGACGGATGTAATTTCGCCATTCCGTGCGCCACAGACTAGCTGAGCTAGCTGCAAACACGTGACACCACACCACCAATCATCCCGCTCACCAACGACAAGCTGCATCGACACCATCCCCCAATGGCACGGACCAAGGCTGTGCCAATTCGCATGTCACAGTGACATCACAGACGTCACTTCACCACACGGTGTGCCACTGACTAGATACAACAATGTAACACCAAGCCTTGTCGACACCGCCAATCATCCTGCCGTGACATCCACAGGCCGCTTCCCGCAGCACATTTGTACTACAAAGTTGCCAGATTTGTGCAGTTTTGAGGCCAGCCCCCAGAAGCTGCTTCCCGTGCTTGACTTATAATTCTACTTTTGTGGACCTGTTCTGAGTCCACAGTGGTCAGAAGCTGCTTCCCGTACTGTTTGTACCACAAAATCGCCAGCTCTGACCCAGCTCCAAGCTGCCTCCTGCACCACTTTTGTACTACAAAGTTGGCAGCTGCCAGAAGCTGTTGCCGGACTACATTTTTACCACAAAGTTCCCAGTCCTAAGGCCACAGTCGGCGACAGTTACACACTTTGGCAATTTCTACCAGTTACGACAGTTGCAGCACATTAGCAACTTCCAGCGTGATTTTCGATGACGGCTACACACAACTTGGTAACTTCCACCTGTTTTTGGACTACAGTTACACCGTTTGAGCTTGACAACTTCCGACATGACTTTCGATCTCGACACGCGCGATCTCCGCAAAGGGTTCACCGAGGACAGCAAACATTGCATTCCACCTCACGTTTGAGGACTCGACGCGCGTGATCTTCGCAAAAGCGAACAACAACAATTCGCTTTTCGCCACATGTTGAAGCACTCAACACGCGCTATCTCCGCAAAGACAGAGGACGATTCTGCATGTCACCACAGTTTCGCGCCTCCGACATGCATGATCTTCGCAGAGGGTCGTGTTTCGTGAGCATCGGCCGGTCCACCTCGCCGCAAAAAAAAAATAGAAAGATGTCAAAGTATGTCAAAGTTGTACTTGTGTTGTGTCTTCACCTGTATCTCAACATCTGTATCTCTACACCTGTATCCCAAGATCTATATCTCAGTGCCTGTATCCAAACACCTGTATCTATGTAGGCGTGTTGTAGAAGTTGCATCACTTGCATCTCTGCGCCTCTACGCCTTGATGGTGAACCGATGATGATTTTGATGACGATGATGATGATGATGATGATGATGATGACGATGATGATGATGATGATGATGATGATAAAGAACGATAAAGAAAATGATGAGGATAAAGAAGAAGAAGAAGAAGAAGAAGAAGAAGAAGATGATGATGATGATGTTTGGACAGTTGAAGTTGGTAGCCGTTCTTTATGGAGAACCCTTTCGGGAACAAAAAAGACAGCTGGCACAAGAAATCATGCATTATACCATTCGTCTGGACATGGTCAGAAGAGAAAGACTGAATCAACGACTGAACACATCTCGACTGTGTGCATGTTCTTGTCGACACATGTCAGATATTATAGCTCAGGTGAAACACATTGAAACACATCTGTGTGCATCGCTTGCATCACCAGACTCTTTGCCACAAAACTGACCGAACTGGATCGTTGAGTGGTGTTGACAGTTGAGTATATAAAAAAATATCTATATGGAGATGTAAAACAATTCTGCTAAAAGGGTTTAATTCATCAACAGTCTACATCAAAACTGTTCTATGTGAAAAAAAGTTGGCCAGATGCTGGATGGGCAGGTCATGTATCCCAAGGACTATGACAAGCCCCTCATGACGGAGGAGGGAGTGTAGGCATAGGCAGATCAGTTGCTAGCGAATTAGAGCATGAACTCGTTGCAAAACACTGTGATCCTTCAGTATGCAGCAGAGTTTCAACCCAGTTACGCAGTGCTGCAAGGGAATTTTATGACCGAATAAACGCAATTAAAGGCCATGGATCGAAGACTCTCAGCTGAAGCATGTACTTGATGTAGGGCCTCAGGAGAGTCGTGGTGTTGGGAAACCACTAGAATCCTCTGCCATGGACGAAATATGAATGCAATGAGGACATCACAAGATGCCAGCCAACCTATGACCACCTCAAGTATTTGGAGAAGCCAGACATGAGCGCCAGATGCTCAGCATAGCTCCTCGCGGATTCCCTCATTGTAAGAAACATCGGATGGACGATGTCTTACCTTTCTGGGCTTTCAAATTCAGGTTGGCTGCACAGATCCTGTGCATCCTGGCGGTAAGGCTAGATCTTACTACGTGTGGGCACTGAGATTCTCCGGTTGGAGACTGGCTGTGAAAATGGTTGTGGTTTTGTGGACTCAATCCTAGGATTTTGCGTGCAATGAAAGAGAAACGATCGATGGATCTGAATGGACTCAGATCCTGAGTCGCATTGATGGCAAAACTATGATGGGTCTATAATACAAGTTAAAAGAGTACCAAGAATCTAGGAACTCAATCATCAAGCCTGAGCCCTTCTGCGTCGAAGCCTAGGCGAAGCTACTTAAGCTTAGTAGCTACTTACCTCTTACTTCCTTGTTAGTAGCTACTATATATACACTTGTTAGCCTACCCCAGCAGCCTTCCCCCCTTCCCCCGTCCTTTCCAGCGATCCTGACCAGAGACTCAAGTCTCTCTTGTTCGAGGCGCCCATGGATCGCAGACCCCGGGATCTGAGCCTCACCACGGCAGACATCGAGCTGGCGATTCCACGGGGTGGTCAACATAAGGGCTTCCGCCTGGACAGCCCAGCTTTGGGGCTACGGCCAGGATGGCTTAGGGCTTGATACGATCAATTATCATTATGTCACTATGTTATATATATATATGTATATCTCTGTGGCCTTACATAAGAATAAGACACACATATGTTGTCATAGGTTACATAAGTCATAAGTCATAGATGGATTTGGAAGTCTGCTGAGCCTGCTGTGCGCCTGACCACTGAAGTTACAGTCAATGCGAGCATTTTTTGGCATCCAGCTCTTTTGCAGGTTGAACCTTGTACGGGTGAATCACACTGATCTAAGGATAGAAGTGTTGCTGTAGTTCTGAACATGTTTTGCCCAAGGTCACACTGACCCGGTCTGTCCCAGATACGAGCTGCCATCCTCCTACCAGCTTCAGCCTTGGACAAATCATTTGCATGCCGCCACAAGCCTCTGACCTTCAAACGAGCAGAGCACAGCGACCACCGAGGCTGCCGGTTCCCGAACCGCGGTGGAACGGCCGCCATTGCACTGACAACTCGGACATAGAGAAGAGCCACCCAAGAGTCAGGTTCCAAGCTGCATGGACATCTGGAATGTGCTTTCGTGGACATCGCGAGTCGAACTGCAAATTTGTGGAACTGCTTAAGCATTGCAACCCTAAATGAGACTTCCCTGGAGTGAGGTTCTGCACCCAGACAGGAACTACACCCGGGACCCGAATGAAGCAGGGCTCCTATGTCACACTCAGTGGGAGTTTCATCACTGCAAAAGTCAAACAATTGCGGAACGCGCACAGTGCCATGTCACGTCATGTCACATCATACATGTTACATATGTTTAAGCAATCATTGTTTTGCAATCGTTTCTCCCATTTTCTGTTACTGTCCTTTTCAGCAGCGAACATCCGTGATGGGTGCCGAGGGCAGGGACATTGAGTACTCAGCTCCCAACTATGCCAAGGGCACAGATGGATCTTATGGCAAGACCTGTGTCAAGCAGTCTTGTCCCGTGGCTGGTTCCAATAGTGTTTGCAAAGAGGCCATCAACGGTCCCTGGAGCAAATTTGGAACATATTGAACGTGATTGGATTCAACAGAGTATGTTGAATGTTTTTGATGTTCCAATGGCCGCTTCTAGCCTCAATGACCTTACTCGTCTTCTAGGCTGAGAAGCTCAAGGCGTTGAACGCCCGGCCGCGTTGGGTGCCCAGTTCTGGCAACGATTCTGAAAAGGTCCGGCTTTGGGACGTCTGATATTTGTCGAAACCTGGTTCCATTGAATAGCTGGAAGCCACAAGGCACTAAGTGTACCTCAAAGGTTGTTCCCGAATGCGTAGCGAAGGGTTTCCCGTTTATCGTGTGTTGGTCTCATGTCCCTGGACTCGCTGCTGTGACGAACCTGTGTGCGAACAAAGTCAGCCATGACCGGGTGAAGTCTCTTGGAGGATGGATGGATGGATGGATGGATGGCCCGAGAGTTGGTCCGAGAGTTGGATGGTCCGAGTCCGTCATCGCCATGCCATTCGTGCAGATGTGCTGCGCAGAGGTGCATAAAAGTTTGGTGCGTCAGCACGGTGTTTGGCGTCAGCACGGTGCCATGCGGCCATGCGTCGCTGTGCCATTGGGTTTGGGCGTTCGCAGGATGTGGATCTTGTGGATCTTGTGGTGAGTTGAAAAGCTGTGCCATCAAGATCTTCTGAAGCGCTTGCCTTGAAGCTGTGCTTCTCTAACGCGCCTCAAGTAGAACTGCGAATTTTTGCGATTTTGGTTGATTTGAGTGTGCCCAGAAAGCGTCGAAACCTTCCAAAAGCGCGATGCCAATTTTGCTGGACTTGTTATTAACGTGACTCTTCGTGGCAGGCGCAGTGCTTTGTGCGTGTTAGAGATGCTGGGACGCAGTTTGCGTGGCAGGTGCCAGTGCAGTGGCGACAATGTTGCTGTACCATTGGGGCTGCGGCTGCTTTCGAGGGCTTGGATCGGGGTGATGTGTTCGCTCTGATGAGGCTTCCGGCTTCACTTTTCGAGGAAGTCTCGTACGAAATGTTTGTTTTGTAGACCAAGAGTAAGGAACAACTCATAAACGACATGCTCCTTTTGGAGACTTGACAACAATCACTTTTGGAGGGTAGAAAGTCTCAGGTGACATGCTCATATTGACGGCTTGACGTGCCACTTTTGCAAGAAGTCTCGTACAACGTGCTCGTTTTGAAGAATTCTCAGCATGATTTCTTGTTCGTTTTGGAGACTTGACAAGCAACGTTGGAAATGCTTGTTTTGAAGACCTGCGCGCGACGCTTGGAGGAAATCTGGTACGCCATGTTTGTTTTGAAGGCTTGATGAGGAAGTGTTCGTTTTGAAGGCTTGATGCGTCACTGTCCTACAAGGCTAACACGCATGAGTCCCCACAAGAATGCCTTCCAAAAGTGTTCCACAAGAGAGCCCTACAAGAGTGCCCTACAAGAATGTCGCACAAGAGTGTCTCACCAGAGTGCCCCATAAGAGTGTCCCCCAAGAAAACTGTCACAAGAATGTCCCACACGAGTGCCGTACCAGAGCGTCCTACAAGCCAGGGTGTCCCACAAGATTGCTTTACAAGAATGTCCCACAAGAGTTTCCCAAACATTTTCCACAAGACGCCACAAGACTGCCCCACAAGCGTGTCCCACAAGAATGTCAGACGAGAGTGTCCCCCAAGAGTGTGGGGTTGCGTGTCCCGCAAGAATGTCAGACAAAAGTATCCCACAAAAGTGCTTTACACGTCCCACAAGAGATTCCTACAACAGTGCCCCACAAACGGTGTTGCAAGTGTGTTTTGCAAGTTACACTTGGGGCACGGTCCTATGTGCCAGGTGATTTATTGATATGTGCGTGATTGATTGGCACTTAGGGGACCTTGTACAGTAGAGCAAGTGGAGAGACTTGTGTCCCAAAAGAGTGTTGCAAGGGTGTGTTGCAAATGTGTCCCACAAGCGTGTCGTACGAGAGTGCCCTACAACAGTGTCCCACAAGGGTGTTGCACAAAAGAGATCAAAAGAGTGTGCAGCAAGAGTGTCGCGCACGAATGTCCCACATGTGTGTGGCAGAAGAGTGTGTTCTTAGGAGAGTGTCACCCTAGAATGTGTTTCAAGAGTGGTTTAGAAGAGTGTCAAGCAAGAGTGTCGAACAAGAGTGTCAAACAACTTTGGCCTCTTTTGTTTGCGTAGTTACGTGTGGGCATTTGGGCTCGTGGGTTTCTATCAGGTTACATCACCAGTTGAAGCAAGATTCTGGGAATCAGACGGTCCCGTCATTGATTGTGAAGGAATGCGCTTGTGTTCCTGCAGCCCAGTGTTGCATCAATGACCGAGAAAAATGGGCTACACTGGCAATAAGATGACCCGGTAGCGCAGTGAACACGAGGTCCAGACATGTCTCTGGATGTGAAGGCGGTTGAGCTGTAGTGCACGGCGGGAACCAGTAGATTCTTGCGAGACTTTTTGTTGGAGTCATCAAAACACTTTTGGAAGCTGAGAAGGGTCCCCAAAGAGAGACCAACTTGAACCACACTTGACCTTTTCTTGCTTCGACCTTTGAGTGGCTCATAAGTTTCCAGAGCCGGACATATAGCGATAGTTCTTGAGACAAATTCTCCTTGCAAGCGTAGCTAAAATTGACTCCTGGGACAGGACATCATGGCAGTCAATCCTGCGAGACCACGGGGCACCAACCCCTTGGAACCCACATACAAGGCGAGGAAGTGATGACTGCGATCTCGATGTGTTGAATTAACTTTGTGTCACCAGCAGGATTGAAGTGTTCAACCTTCAAATCCTTTGCACAAATTTCTTCCTGGTCATGCTAGTTCAGATAGATTGTTGTTGCGTCCAGGTGCCCACCAGCGCCACAACCTCTCTTCATGCCAAGTACGCAGAGGAGCTGCTGGTTTAGATCATTCATTCCAATTCACGAGGACTCTGGGAATGTGGTTGCTAAATGTGTGAGCTGGATCTACTTGCTCTCCGAACTTTTTGCGAAAAGTCGAAAAGTCGCGAACAGTCGAAAAGTGCACAAAAAGGCAACGATGATAAGAAAGAGTCACCCGCCAAAAGGTCCCGGGGCTTGCCGGGTCCTTTTGGCGGGCGTCTCTTTTTTGAAGGCATTCCTGCTCGAGGCTGACTCACTTTGACACGGCTGGAGATGTCTGGAAAACAGCACCCTATACCTATATCATCCTATATCATCCTATATCTGTAGGAGCAAAAGCAATGTTTGGATCAATTCTGCTAGACTTTTGTTGAAGGGCACGGCATGTGACTGGTGTCCAAAAATCTGGAAAAGTCGAAAGGTCTCGAAAAGTCGAAAAGTCAAAAAGCCTCGAACAGTGAGAAAAGTCTCGCTGCATGCTTTCGTTTCCTTTACCATTTTGACTTTTTGACTTTTATCACTTTTTGACTTTTTGCGTTTTGCTCGGTGTCTTGCAAATAGATCGTCGCTAAATTTAAAGGATTTAGCATACCCTCCATACTGAGGAATGAATCCGCTGGGTCTTGTCCCTGCCCAATAGTTTCTGGGCTTCCACGACGCCGATGGGGGTGTTCAAGTGATTACGAGGGAGGACTTTCAGACCTTACCACACTACGTGTTCCCTTTCAGACCTGTGTGGAGAACTTTTCAGAAGGTTGGTGGGTTGGGGGTGAGTCACAGATGTTTCACACCAAGTGTTTTTGAAATGCACTGATTTGGATCTGGTTGTTTGGTTTTCTTTGCTTTGCCTGAACCACCAGGAGAAGCTCTTGGGCATCCAGCTTCCAAGCCTACAGGCCGACTGTTTGTACTATCAGACAGTCCTTTTCCTGCAGAACATGAGTATAATTGTAAAGGGTCATCCGAAAACCTGTGCTGAGTCGCTCAAAAACCTGGAAACACCGACAGACCGCCGACGCCGACGCCCCTGCAAGAAAAACGATCGTGAGACCCAAAAGCCTCTCAGGTGCGTGAGGTGGGACCTGCAGCTTGGCACGACCGAATCGAATCGAATTGGACTGAACCCCACCTGCCCTCACCCGAATCGATTGGTCGAATTCGACATCCGAATCGAACAGAAGATTTGCTCATGGCAGCAGTTCATGCAACGGTGGAGAATGAGCCCACTTGTACTGAACCAGAAAAGGAACAAAGAGGAGGGACCGGAGCAGTCTCAATGGTTTTTTTATTGGCATTGTTTTGCATTAGCAAGGACGCTACTAGGCATCGCTACTAGGAGCAAGGACGCTTCCTAGGTCTTAGGCTCCACCTCCAAAAAGGGCTACAAAAAGACAAGAAAGAAAGATAACGGTCTAATAATAGCTGCTTTGGCATTGTTTTGCATTAGGTTGGAGGCCATCGCTAGTAGATGGCCTCCCAATTTTTTTTTGCATGCTGAGGTCTTAGGCTCCACCTCCAAACGCCTGCACTGGGACAATGGAGAGCCGCAGCTGAGCCTCCTACGGGAGGTGGGATGTGCTTTGGGAGAAGGGGAGCAATGTATCATAGGCATCATATACAGGTTTGCTCAATCAAAGGAAGCATAATGTCTGAATGTACCAGCTTGATTTCCTCAAGCGTGAAAGTTGGCCGACACCACTGATGACCAATGATTTGTGACTTGGGCTCTTGAAATGAAGCTGATGATCATCTCTGTGAGTCTGTGGGTGAACTCTCGAAAAGCAACATGACACTAGTCAGCAGACTTGGTGTGCTCTGACTACCGGATCTGACTAGCCGCAGGGCTAGTGACGTTCGTGTTCCTGAGTGACGTTCGCCACCAAAAAGCACTGTCTCAGAGTTCACTCTGCCTGCAGGACATTGCTGGCACAGTGCCACAGCGCTGGGTTAGAAGCCAAGTGCACGTGGAATTTCACGCCGAAGTCGTTCGGAAAGTGCTCAGACTTTGTTTGGAAGTCTCACGACCCTGTTGCGAAAGCACGTGGAGCTTCATCATTTAGCCGCAGCAGAGTGGCCGTGCGGGGAATAATACCAAGAAGTTCTGGGAAATGCTGTGTAGCTGGAGAGGTAATAAGGCAAGCCTGATCAACTTCTTTCTTTATTGAATATGTAATATGTAACATCTGCGATGTAAGCTGGTATAGTTTGATCACTTTAGGACCTCTTCAAGTACATTATATATTTCTATTATATATTTGTATGATGTATTGCATACTTGACCACATAGTCTCCTGGCTATCAAGACTGGTCTTTGGAATTCCAAAATGCCGTGGTGAAGAAGGAATAGTCTTTGAACATGCTACATAAGCACCCTTGAGTCCTCAGGTTGGTGGGGTGCCAGCCAATATCTACGACCCTCCTGAGATCAGGACACGGAAGATGGGGTTGCAATGGCAAGCCTGGCCTCCCACCCTAGTAGCGATGGCCTCCAACCTACTAGCGATGGCCAACCTGATAGCAATGGCAAGCCTTTGAGAGATTCTGAGCGCATTGTTTGAAAACTTGCTCAGTTCCTGTCAACAACATCGAGCTTTGAAGGATGTTTGCTGCAAGGAACGGTTGTTCTAGATGAGTGTCGAGCGTTTCCACGCATACGTCTGTGTGGAAGCAGAGAGTACACCGACCATCGCATGCATTAGTGTGGGTTTCTCTCACGACTGGTCTTCTCAAGTGAACAGTTCGATTGAATCTTTATTCAGGGGCAGCTATTGCAGGCTTCAGAAACTTCCACTGTGTTCAACGATTTGCTTTCTCAACATTCCTGGTCTTATACTGCCATGCTGCAAGGCCAATGATGTCATTCCACGACCCTCATGACATTCCAGGAGCACAGGCCAGGTTGGATTCTCCAAGCCGCTTTTTGGAACGGCACACACCCCGAAGATTGACACACCGTGCATTGAAATGATCCCTTTGATTTGCAAAAACAATGGATCCCAAATGATCCCTTTGATTTGATTGAATTTGGGATCCCAAACTCACCTCACACTGTGGAAAAACTCTCTTCCAGAGGTGGGCAGCCTGAAGAAGGGCATAGAGGGCAGCCGGCGCCGTGGGGGACCAATTGGGCTTTCAGAATCCACAAACTGGACACAAGCATGGCCATCGGAACATATATATATATATATATATTAGCGATGGCCTCCATCCACCCACTCCAACCTAATAGTATGATGTTGGGTGAAAATTGAGTATGCTTCAGACTCGTTAACACGACTGTCAAAGAGTTCTTTTTTTGACAAGGCCTTGGGGACAAAGAGTGGTTTTCGGGAGCGCCCCCGTTTTTTTCTCAGGTGTGAACCCGCTGAATCCCAAATATCCAATGCTGGATGGCAACGCACGGCCACAGCCAGTGCCAACCTTCGAGGCCAGCGAAGGCTTTTGGCCCTTGTGCATCAGTCCTGTCGATGCTTTGGGGTCCTTGACAGGCACAGAGGCATCCCATGCTGCGCAATCCTTCGAGCACCTCCAGCATGCACGGACCCTCGAGGAATTGAATATCACGAGGTCTTGGGATGAAATGCTTGCAAGCTTTTTAGAGAGGCAACAATTTCCAGTTGCCTATGATTTGTGGAGTTGATCTGGTGCACCTGCAAGGGCCCCGCAGATATGTAGGACTCTGCAAAAAGGGTTGACCAGGTATTCTTCCTTGCAGATTTGCAGTAAGAGGTTAGGGTGTGAAGGGTAGTAGAAGTTGCATAGATTTGCAACGGTTTCTTGTAACGGCGGAAACCACTGGCCCAGCGGAGGGTCAAATCAGAAGAGCTCACTGTAGGCCCCAATCTGGCTTCCAATGATTGTAATATGAACGACAATGTTTCTTTCCAGTTACAGTTGTCTCACGATTGCAACGTATGGAAGCCAAAGGGGGGGCTTTGAAGGTCGAAAACACGAAGGAAGCGAAGAGAGCCACCGTATCTGCCGGGATCGTCTCGCCAGGATCGTCTGCCCGAAAGTGATCAGCGTTTGATCGTCTCCAAGACTCGAACCAAAGAAGCCGAAGAAACCCGTTTCCAAACCCTGCGTAGCACGGGTGTTTGCTAGTCATTCGACATGGGTTAAATATGTCAGGTACTAGACTTTGTCGGACTGACAGACTGTTCTGCCTATTTTCGAGACTTCATCTTGGGTACGAGGTAGAAAGTGAGGTCATGTTGCATATCGAGTGGCTTTCGAGGAGATGGTCAGCTGCCGCAAGGCATACGAAGTCATTCCAAAAGTTCAAGTAAACTCTCTGGGTCTCTGGTGATCTGTGGCCTGATTCGCCAGCACATCACACATCAGAGCATCAACTTGAGCAACTACTTCACTGGCTGCTCCCAACTTGAAATCCGTCTTAGCTTTGAAGTTTTGACAGCCATGCCAATGGGTTATCACCCAGGTCAGCGTTTCGAGCATCGGTTCGTAACAGTTTCCTGAAACCAACCTGATGGTAGTCAGGAGATGTGCTGCCAGCTGAGGCCCAACTTGCATTCTTCTCGCTCGTCGGAAAGCACAGAAGGACAACTTCCCCTTTGCAATCAGCAAAACGAGTGGGAAATGGACTTGACTTTACCAGATTCAGACTATTTGTCCCATATGAAACTCTAGAACAATAGTCATTCTAGTGGTGGTATTGAGGCACACATTACAGCATTATAATATAGAGCCCCGCACTTGCTGAGTTTGCGCCCTGCGGGGCGGCGGACCTTCTCAGAGTTGTCACACTCGTTCCTTGGGCTGCAACTTAGCTCTCGAGCGTTTTTGGATTTGTAATCGAGTCAGCTGTTGGAGCTTGAGTTGAATCGGGAGACTCAGCAGTTTGCGATTCTTTCGTGAACAGCCTCTGCAATTCTGAAGAACCCCTTCCAATGACCAGATCAGAAAGAAAGATATGCCGATAGGAGGCCATCACTACTAGGGTGGAGGCCATTGCTACAGGGTGGAGGC